CGACAGCACAGCGAGCGTCTCTGTGAAGCCGCTACTGGTCCGACTCAGTCCAGAATGGGGTGAAGTGATCCTGATCTCTCTTTCACTCTATCCCGCTCGCTCGCTCGCTCTCGCCTCGCCTGGAAAGCTAGCCTGGTGGATGGGCCTGCCAGCTTTGGCCCGCCCGCCCGCCGCCTGCCCAGTAGAACCAGAATAGGGCCTGTGCAGAGCGCCCTGGGGTTCAACACCACCACGAGCCGACCAGACCACCAGTCCTTCACCTACCACCCACCACCGCCGCTGCACCTGGTGCGCAAGCGTGTAATGGGCGACTGGCAGTCCAATCAGAGCTCGGCATGATCAAATCCTCCCCCTGGAACGGCCTTGCCCTTCCACGATGTCCCCGTTCTTTGAGGCGAGGAGGCGAGCCCCGAGCCACAACCTGTGAGGTCCAGCCAACCAGGTAGAGCGGCGAAGCTGAACCCAGACTCATGCAGGGATTACTCTCGATCGACGTCCGTGCTCTGTCACTGCTACCTGCCGTCGCGCACTTATCCCCGCGGCGAAACCGGGCGCGGCGTCAGGAGGGACAGGTAGCGAGTACCGCGTGACCAGCGCGATGCCAGGGTGGGACCCTGTCTCTGAGCCTCCTGACTGGCTCAGGTACCCAGATGGAAGACACGACTGGCAGGCACTGTGGGCAGGGGTCGAGAGGGGCAGGCAGGAGCAGCTGCGAGTCACTCCCTCCTTCCCCCCTGTTTTGTTCGCCCCTTCCCAATCATTCCACGCCCATCACAGTTCTGCCCGTGTGTCAGCATCGGCCTGCTTGTCTGCCCAGTTTGGTCTGCGAGCCTCGGCGGCTTGAGGCTCCATGGCCTCAAAGCTTCGTTCGTGGGGCGAGGCAAGAACCTAAAGCTCAGATGGATCATCTCCTTCGCTCCAAGTGCGGCATCACATCTCGGCCAAGGTCCTTGTCCCCGAGGATGCCGGGTGCTCGAGCCAGTCCATCTCTATCTTAGAGTTCGAGCCCCTGTCTATTCTTGACGATGGAGGCATGACCCAAAGTGAGCGAAACCCGCGGCACATTGTATTTTTGTCTCGATCTGCCTTCCTATCTGGCGTGCCCCGACGCGACAGCCTTGAGTACCTCGCGAACGGACCTCCTCTCAGCTATGCGAAACTACGGGAGCGTCACCTTCTTCTTTCTGGCCATGACATGCATAGACACGCCACGCATGTTCGACGATTTCCCATGAGTGTCCTGGCAGCAGCAGCAGCAGCAGCATGGAATTCCTAAATGGGAACTGGCTTTCTATCACCGGCCGGACCATCTCTCAGTCTTCGCCTTCCATTCTCCCTGTTCCCACAGCCCATATGAATAATGACTGCAATATGTGCCACAAACTCAGATACCCTGCGAGCAAGCATGTTTCAGAGACAAGTACAAGTCAGTCAGCCAGCCATTCAGTCAGTCAGAACATGGTCGACACGTATTTACGATACTGGGCAAGGATATTAGCCTCCTTTCGTCTGAAGCCTCCTGCGGGACCCGCTCCAAGACAGCACGACAGCAGGCTCTTCCAAGGTTCCAAGGACATCCGTCCCCACGCGGGCGCTGTCATTTGGGCGAGCTGCTCGCCCGGTGCAATGACTCCATCGCGCATCTCGTGGACGTGTGCGACTACTCCCAGGGCCGCCGCCCACGAAGACCCCCTTACCCTATCTTGGAAGCATGAGAGCAGGCAAGGGGCTCGGCTTCCCCCACCGTAAACACAGGCACACAGGCAGGTCAGCACCGCGAGAACGCAGGACCTGAGACGAGTGCTAGGCTCAAAGTCGTCAATCCCATGCTCAACCGCGCTGCGGAGGCCGTGCTTCCCCATGTTTGGGGGGGGCTGAGGGGGGCATAAACTCCTGGCGAACTCAGTGTTACACCATGTACCATTCAGGGGAGCCCAAGAGTCCCGCTCCACCCCCTTGACGGCTCCACATCATCTCGTTTTGAGCTGGCCCTGCGCGACCTCGACGGAGCCTGATACCTCTTTATGGACAAGCGGTCTTGCCAAACGGGACAAACGCCATGCACTGCGCCTCCAGCTGCCGACATCTATCGAAAATCGGACTGGACTCTAACTTCCTCTCAGTGTGTTTATCTGAGACTGGCGCGTCCTTTGAGTCAGAGCCGTTCCGCAGGAACGTGGCTCCAGGCGGCGGCTCCCATTTCCCGTCGATGGCGAGACATGCTCCTGCCATTCCTTTGCCCCTCTATCACTCTCAGGCATGCGGAAGTCTATTCAGAGACCAACTTTACATGACTACTGACTCGAAGGGCTGGTCGTTGTAATTGGCCATGATCAAGCCGTTGGCAAGATACACAGCATTGCCGCCACCTCGTTCTGCGTCCTGCATGCTTGCCATGCCCGCAGCAGATGCAGCCTCAACCGCCTCGCAGCACTAGCAGCGCTTAATGTGGTAACACGTAGTTGCTAGTCGCGGGCCGCTTGGGCGAAGGATGCACAACACATTTTCGGCGGCTCCTCATCGCCAAGAGGGCGGCACACAGGTAGATCGCCAACGTGGCACCAGTGAACTTCGCAATCACCTGCAATTGCTGTCAGATACCATTCGAGCACGGCACGCCACCCGGCGGTAATCATGGCCATCCTGACCTGCTGTTCTGAGTGATGTCCCCCACACTATCAATCCATTTCTGGTGGCTACAGGTGGTGCGTACTTAAACCGATAGTTTCGAGCCGAGATCAATCCGAAAATAACAGCACTGATTCGGTTCCTAGTATGGGGCTACCCGTCACGCCATGTTTGTTCCTGTCATCAACGGGCTTCAGCAGATGTGATTGTGGAATATCACATCTCGACACGTACACAGAGCCACCACCTATGTAGTATAGACATGTCGATTGAGCGCCTGTTCATCCAATGAACATAACTTGCAGGTTTGTTTGTGGACTCTTACGTCAAACACGCACGCCTCGTGTATGGGAAGTGCCAGACCAACGCGTATCAAGGCTGCTGTCATGTTAGCCGCCTTACCGGGACTGTGTGCAAACCTGTCGCGATGCTTCGCGATACTGTTGAGAAGAGAGTCAATCCACGTGCACTACAAAAGCAGCCGCCAGCGATGCCATTGGATATGGTTTAGGCCAGATATTGCAAGCTGCTACAACAACTCTGCTGCAACTATTGCCGCCAGCCCTTGTGGGCCTATCCGCACAGGATCCACCGTCGATTTCTTGCCTTGGGGAATGCTTGTGGGAGCTGGTAATTGATGACATGATGCAACCTGCAACAATTATCTGCGCGACAGAGGCAAGAGGTAGCATGCTTGGCAACGTCACAGCGATGTGAAGCTTCGGACGCTCGCTTTTCGACTAGCGAATTTGCGTCAAACCGCCATTTCGTGGAGACGTCCTTGAGGGATGAATAACTGCCGAGCCAAGTGTACTCTTCATCTTCCGATCAACAAGACAGGTTCAGAATCACAGTCGCGGTATCGACGTTGTTGTTGAGTAGCCTTCCAGAGATACTCTATTGCTAGAGAACACCGCGGAGGGCCACCATGATTTCTTCGCTACTCACCAATTATAATTGGCTCAAGGCCATGGATTTCCAGCCTAGCGAAGAGGACGAGTAACTTGTCGCCTGTAATTCAAAGGCATCATCGGGATGTTCGTGTGGTCAGCCTAAAGGTTGACAGAGAAACCCAAGAACGCATCCAGGCACCCGACATGCGGTCTCTCCCCTCTCCAGTAGCACAGGCAACCATCACCGTCATGTCAGCCTTGCATTCTCAACTCCCATATCGCAGCTAGGCAGACGCTGCCAAGACCATCATCTCAACTGGACCACGGGCGAGCACTGTGAGCCCATCTACCTCATGCAGTCAGCAGCAGAGGGGCCCTCACACCCCCTTTCCCCAAGAAGCAAAACCACTTGGCTCCGCTCCCATGGCTCGTAGCGCTTGACGATCCTGTGGAGGGAGGGCCTGACTTGTGGAGGCCACAGATGTCCGTGGCCCTAGAAGACAAAAGCCTGTACAGCACATGGTCACTCTCACCTCGTCTGAGGGTGCCAACTCCCACAGAACCTCATCTGCGTGCCGGGATCTAGGTCACTCAGCTACACCCCCGGCCCTCTGCCCAGAGGTAGACATGGACGCGCCCCCGGACTCTCATTTGTGCGAGATACAGCGCCAGCATGAGAATGACGTGAGATCAATCTTCGGCATCCTGTGGTTCTCCTAGCGAGGGCATAACGTGATGCAATAGCATTCGGACACATTGGGACGACGGCTTCATGATAGGCGTCTTCCGGACTTTGCTCCGAACTTGACGCTCGATGGAAGCAACTAGGAGCGTGGAGCAGATGAGGGCAGAGACTCGACGTATCAATATTCAAGCAATGGCTACGACATTATGTTTCGGGTGCGATGGAGTCACAAAGCATCGTGGACCAGACAGATAGAATCTGCATCAGAAGGAGGCACGCTTTCCACGCCCCAAAACTTGACATGTTCCTTGTACCGATCATTATTGAAACAGCATCCGAGTGATCTGCCAAATGATCGACGGTAGCCTGTATCTCTAAGACATGGTTTGAGCCATGATTTATGAGTGGGTTCGCGTATGAAATGAGGCAGCGATAATCACATTACGTGTACAAGGCTGGTTGGGAGCCTTTCTTCACGCCAGTGGAAACCAAATAATGCGCGAACATAATGATTCATGTCTTCGTTATGTGGAAAGAAAAGTGCTAGCCAAGGATACAGGCAGAGCGACGCTAGTAGATGCCCTGCAGCGCTCCACGACCTCTGCCGTTACTATTACGTTAATTGGTAGTAGGTTTTTTCATAAGCGATCCGTTCATCGCATATGTTCCGGAGGCACGTTCTTTCCGTAGAAACCGCCGTGCCCCTCTCCGCCCGAGGAAGCACACGCTAGACAGACTCCGCCTCCATACACTCTCGTGTGTCGGGTCCAGCCCGCTCCGTCGTCGTCTAGTGCTGAGATGATCTCCCCGTGCACCTCAATCTCTTGAGGACTTACGGGGTACTCGACCATGTGACCAGGAGGAGGACCCGGGAGCATATATGACGTGGGTGGGTATGACGATGAAATGTCCAGTGGTGTCCGAGGTGACGGCGTTGATGACGCCGTGGGGTTAATGGGGATCGTCCTTGTGTAAGATCTCCTGCGCGGGGTGATAGGGACTTGTTTCGCTGTTGCGGAGCCTATTTGCTGCGCGGTCGCTGTAGACGACATGTAGTCAGGATTTGGCTGCTGGAAGAAAGACGTATCCAATTCTGATGTAGTTCTCGCCTGACTGTATCTATGACCATCGATGGAAAAGATCGTGGTCGCCAGCTCTGGAGGTGTAAGTGGAGGCGGAGGTGGTGGTCTTGACATGATCATGCTCGAGCGCGTGACAATGGGAGGGGTAGTAAGGATATCTGCCTCGCCTCCGGAATCGCTAGAAGACATCTCATTTCGTGGCGTGGCGCTTCCGAAGGTTCCATCCGCGAATCTGACATGGCCTGGGCGACCTGAATCGCTGGCTGAAACATGTACCTCGGCGCTGGGGCCTTGATGAACAGCGTCATCTATCGTGAAGCCATGCGCTGGGAAATGATGATAGAGGCGCTGCTGCTCGAGGAGATGAAGTTCCACGGGGACAAGCTTCTCGTCCATGGTACTTTGTTCGCTGCGTTGCGCGGGCTTTGGTGTCTTGTATGCCTTTGCTGCGATCAAGACCTTCCCGACGAGTAAGAGCAGAGCCAGTGCTATGCATACATGTGCAAATCCGATAAGAAGATTGCTGAAAAAGAACTTCGCCAGGGGTTCTCGCCACAAAAGATAACTTTCAGAGTTCGATGGAGCGACAGCGGGCATGACTGCTGGCGATCAAGACTGAGGAGTGAAGCCTAGACTTGACTTGCAGGAACTGAAGGCGTCCCGTCTGAAGTGGCCCGTTTGAAGCCAAGTCGCGCCGGTGGCTTGTGCTGATGAAATCACGCTATGCGTTCCGTGTAAGCGACGAGGGTCGTGAAAAGGATGACGTGCCCCGACGTGCAGCAGGAAGGCCAAGCTGAACCTCAAAATAAGTTGGTGGGCAGCGATCGACAAACTCAGCCAGAGTGTGTGGTGGCTGAGCGCGTTGAGCACGAGGAAGGTGTTCGAAGAGGCGGGGTGGGCAGTTTCTGAGTTTTGCCAAATCGAACAATGCCAACCAGCCGAGGAGGTGAGAGCGTATGATCCCAGGTCAGCCTGATTCCTGGCAGTATGCTTTTTGTGTGCTTGTATAGAACAATGCGAAGAGGCGATGGAGATCTCGAAATGACGGATTGTAAGACTCGAATCAGGGTCAAGTTCTGGCTTGGTGCGTCGTACTTATACCGTCGTCAACCTGCTAGGCGCAGTGGCTCGAAAAACGCTAACGATCCTCGAGGTTTCAGAGCAAGCGACTGCTTCCTTTGGCGGCGACTGTTGACGAGCCCCAAGTGTCTAGATTCAGGATGAACGAAAGCGTTGTGTGATCGCGAACCTACTGCAGCCCTGGTAGAAGTGTGGGTAGTAGGTTTACTAGTGGTGAGAAGATGGGCAGGATCTTATATGCTTTCTCTTGGAGGGTGACCACGGGACGGGAAAGCACAAAACAGAGTGTACAACCGCGCATCGTCAGGCGGGACCGAATTTAGAACATCGAGAAGGGGGATGCGAGTTTGGAGACGAAATGAGAAAGGGTGACCCTAGGCCCGCCATGAGGGTGTGCGCCGCTGAACAGGATTGACTACCTACGACGGCACCCCGGGTGGATGGAATAACGAGCTTACCAAGTCCAGGTACTTACTACGAAAGCAGCCGGGCCATCTCCCCAGAGGTTCAGGTTGTCAGGGTTCACTACATTGGACCCCCGCGGTAGGTACCACTGTTTTCTCCCGACTGTTGGTAGCAAGCTAGCTGACTTGCTCTCGGCTCCGGTTTGAGGACGACAGTCCAAGCTGGACAACCTTACAACCCGAGCGCGGCATGGCAGCCACACAGCCTCTTTGGGAAATTCGGGCCAATGACGCCAATTAAAAAATAAAGGCCCCAACGTATGTAGCGGCCAGGCTCCGCATTGGACTGGCCTGGCGCGAGCGAGGGGCGGCTGGACGTGGGACATGCCGTCGATTTGGTCGCACTTCTCGATGAAGGGAAGATGCTGAAGGCGCCCCATTGCGTTGCTTGCCGGCAGCTCCAGAACCCTGAGTCGCATTTTTCTAGGCGACAGCATTACACGCCCCTGTCATGCTCTGCGATAGCCCTTGAGTTGCTTGGCTAGCCTGTCGCCTAGGGTCTAGTTGCAAGGGGGAACGCGCGGGTGGACTGTCAGCATCGGGGCTGGTCAGCACAGCCAGGCCCGAATGGTGATAAGAGCGGGGTTGATGAGTGGGGTGGAAGACCAGCAAAGCAAGGTGAACGGCGTGTAAGGTCAAGCTGAGAGATGAACCAGGATTTGTTGATGGCGTTTGTGCTCCCGTGCCAGTACGTCAACCATAGGCGCAGCGGATCGGAACCTTAGTTGACGGTACTGGCGGTAATGACAGTACAGTATTGGCAGCGTCGCACTCTGCTTATTCGTGGCCAGTTGCCGGGCGAGAGCTGAGGGATGGGCATGGACGAACAAAGTGTTTGGCGTGTCCCTTCACCCTTGTCTTTCAGCCCAGAAGGCACCGTATTCAGTTCGGCGACTTGTGTCCAGACGGTTTGCCAGCTTCCCAGCCTCTCTCGGCCCAATCTGGATCCCTCCGGAGAGGAACCTGCGCCAGTGATTTGCGTCCGAGGCGATAAGAACTGTGAATGATTCGATGGCCAAGAACCACACCAAGCCGGTGGAACGTCTGTTCCAAGGCATTCGCGCAAGTATCTTAGCCAGACGTCAGACGCATAGCTTCATTCATCGCAGTTTGCCCCTTCGCGTACCCGCTTGCAAGCTCGCTCAGAAGCGGCCAAGAACAGTAATTCGAAAAGGCGCCCAGCTGGACCCTTGCTTGACCAGCGGCGATTGGGGGACCACAAATCAAGTGACCCAGATCATGGAACGGAATTTGTTAGCAGGCTGGAGATGAACAGAGTTAGCGCGACATCTCGACGGGACGGTGTTCAGCTGAGGTGAGCCCTACAGGCACGCCACAGGACCGGTGGCCCCTGTCTAGCGTTGCCGCTCGGGGGACCACGACTGCGAGCTTGTTCTTTTCCATGGTGGCTTCCAACAGGCCATTGGCGTGCAGGCTAGCCCTGCCGACGATCGGTCAACCCCTCTGGAGCGGCGCTTTTGGTTTCGGTCGTTGGTGGTATTCCTGGGATTGCAGCGTGGCGGACAAACGTGGAGCTAAGCGCGAGTTGTGACAGCCTGTTGCACCAGTTGGTGAGTAATGATAAAAAAAAACAAAAAAAGAGAGCAAAAGAACAATAACGAGGGGAGAATGCAGAGCAAGCATCTGCGGCCTTGCCTCTTGCCTCTCGGCTGTCATCCCTGAACCCGGCTCTCGGCTCGAAGGTCCCTGGTTGGACGACCCAGCACGCCCCTGCCTGCCTCGCCCGAGTTGAGTTGCGAGGTTGGGGAACAAGGTGATTCAACGAGCATGACAGGCGGCGGACTTGACCTTCCCAAATTGTCGCCGTAGGGCTGAAGCGAGACGATGGCTTGGATGGGGGAACGAGACATTCGATCGGGGTTCTAGCCCGGCCAGGCAGGTAACAAAACGTGCTATGGTGGGTGAGAGCGCGCAACTTGCACTCGCAGGTCTCGTCGCTATTGCGCGATGTACGCGCCCCCGGAATCGATTCGAGGAAACAGGTCAAAAGTCCATCGTTGACGACATAGGGAAGTGTCGGGAGCCGGCTCGGCTGTTTACAAGCAGGCAGCGCTCGACAGCCTCTGATCGCTGGTTGTTGGATGGTCTGCTGCTCGGAGAGACAACCGCATAGCTCCGTCGTGTCCTTAGTGGC